TAATTTTAAATGGTAGTTAAGAAAGTAAAATAGAGTATGTTTGACAAGAGAGAAATTGAAATAATTAATCAAAATATATGCAGATTTGTTTTAATAAAATTGTCACGTGTGTTATATCATTTATTTTTTAATTAGGACTACACCGATCTCTAATCCCCAATGGCAACCCAAGACGTCAGTTGCAATATATGCACAATCACCAAGGCATCCCACGCCTCCTATTAGCAGAATCTCGAGGCCACAATCTGTATATGCGGGACAACAGCAGCGATTAATTACGCCAAACAATCAAGGAAGATCTCTTCAAGCTAGCATGGTCACTGGTAGTTCGTCTAGGTTAATAACGCCAATTTTACCAACAAACAGTAATATTACGAGACTTCCAGTTGCCCAAAACAGACCATCAACGTCGCAAGTAGTAACTGTATCACAGACGACCCAAGCAAGCAGATCATCAACACAATCCATTCAAGTAAATATAAAAATATATATATATAAACAATGTATATATTTTTTTAATATTTTTTATATATGTTTATATCTGTAATGTTATTTTTTTTTGTTTACTCTTTTACATATACTCTTTTACATTTTCAAAAACTTACAGTTGTGAAATACATAATTTTGAGTCATGGTACACGAATATCGACACAATGCGTTCGACCCGGCGGTGAAAGCATACGTGACGGTTGAGTGTACAACTTTTCTGATTTGCACAATATAAAGAGGAAAGATATACAATTTATGAATTTATAAATTTTATTGGAATGTTTAGCCTATTCAGTCCAGCAGACTTCTGAGTACAACAGGTACTACAAAACGTATAACCGTTCCAACACCCATCGTGGAGACAGCGAATAGAATAAGCAGTACGGCTTCGGTTACTCTCGGTTCAGTAGAATCAACAGTAGGTCGACAATTGTCAATTAACACAGTGGCTGTACCGTCCACCGTTGGCCATATTGTTATTCCTTCACAAGTACATATTTTATTTTTGAGATTGCAATATATTAAAATATATTTTCTTTTGAGATAATTGATAAATAAAACAATTGCAAACAGGTTCAACAGCAACAACAAGGTGCGCCACGGGTTGTTCAAACAGTCACATCTCTATCGAATCTTACTACTGTGTCCCAAATAATTACAACTGCAAATACACATTCAAATACAATGCGTATATTGCAAACGGCTCCAACTACGGTTGCAAAAATCACAGGAATGTCCTTGCATCCATTGCCCATTTCTCTACCAGTGAGGGCTGCATCAGCACCGATCAAGACTGCTCCTGTACAGGCTCAAAATATTGGACAAACCGTTCAGATCAAACCAGCGCAACAAGCTAATTTGCGTATGTCATCTACCAACAGCAGCACGACCACAAGTTCCGCTCAGCCGGTTCAAGGACAATACATACATCCACCGCATACTACTACTTACCTTTCTTTTGAGACCAGTGGTAAAATTATGATTTAAATTAAGCGAATAAATATATTTTTTGTTTTTTTTGCAATAAAAAGATTATTTAAGAATTATATTGTATTTGTAGGAACATATTCACAATTTCGTCAAGCCGCAGTACAACCAGTAAGATTAGTTGTTGAACCAGGATATGAGGAACCTCATAGTAAACCTAATGCATCTCCTAGACCAAGCATCTTGAGAAAAAGAGATCATGACAATTCACCAATTAAAGGTATGGGACGATTACGATAACTTTGGCCCCTTAAAATGAAAATTATTTTTGAAATCTTTTTTAATAAGAGATATGAAAAAGTTCTATTTCTTACAAGGTTCTGGAAACAAAGTCCTTGAAACAAGGTCCACGTTGTACTATTTCCCATAGATTTTCGACTTTCCACGCGAAGCAAGATCCCACATCCCCTTGCTTATGGGGCCAGAAAAAGTCTATGATTGTACTGTTTCACATAGGTTTTCAACTTTCCACGCGAAGCGAGGTCTACCCACATCCTCTCCTGCTTACGGAGCGTATTTGTTGGTTGGAGAATTATTTTTATTTTTTCTATTGGTTTTTT